GAGAGAGAGAGAGAGAGAGAGTCCTTACCGCCACCAGAAGATCTTTTCCCTCTGGACGAGTGCGTACCGTCCAGGTAGATCCGTCCTCCTGCACGAAATCTTCCACCAACATGTTGCCTTGCATAGACACCGTCAGCTGTACAACATGTCGGGGTGGGGGGGTGAATTTGTTTTGTTTTAGTAAGAGTTTTACAATCCTACAAGGAACCGTACAAGGAAAGAGAAAGAGAGGAAGGCAGAGAGGGAAATGGGAGGACAACATCACAGAGTGGACAAGGAAGACGATGGGTGACAATCTGAGGAAAGCAGAGACAGAGAGAAATGGCGAGAGCTGGTTGTCAGATGTAGTGGTGCCCCCACGGTTGCCTCAACAACGGGATAGAAGAAGAAGAACAAGAAGAAGAACAAGAAGAAGAACAAGAACAAGAACAAGAACAAGAACAACGAGAACAACAAGAAGAAGAAGAGTTTTACGGCACTTGCAACAACACAGGTCATATAAGTGCCGAAGATTAGAGGTGTTACATGAGAGTAACACACATTAAAAAGAAGGAGAGAATGAAAAAGACGAGAGTCGTTTGATAGGAAAGCAGGAGAAAACCACACCAAAGCACCCGCCATCCACCCACAAGAGGGATTTGATTATTGTTATTGTAAATGTCACCCTCCCCCAATCTCCGCCCAATGAAGATGTCCGCCCTTCGCTGGAGAAGATAACTTTGACTTCATATCACTGGGGGTGGATTATATTATTGTTACCGGTATTGCCAATTTTCAATGTCACCTCCTCTCCCCCATCCCCATCCAATGATGATGATGCTGTTCGTCCTTCGCCAACGAAGATGATCTTGGCTTCATATCAATGGGGGGAGCGGGAGGGGTTGGTTTGTTGTTGTTGTTTTGTTTTTTTTGGGGGGGTGCGAAGGTGGCGGATTGATCAGGCCGATCTACGCAGGGAAAATGTCCCAGCCCAATAAAATTGGGAAGAAGAGAGGGCTTGTGATTATGTTTACTGTTTTTGTAAATCTCACCTACCCTTCCACTTCCACCCCACCCCCACCCCCCAAACCCCAACTCCCGGCCCAAAAGAGGGCAAACGGGAGAGGGTTTGACTAAAATGTGCTTGTAAGAGTCACCTCCTTTGCCCTCCCCTCCCCTCCCCTCCACATGAAATAGGAATGGAAAGGATTTGATTACATTCTGCTCGTAAATGTCACCTCCCTCCCCTCCTTTCCCATCCCCTCCCCTCCCCTTTTCTCCCCTCCCCTCTCCTCCCCCCTCCTCCCCCGATGAAATGGAGAGGATTTTATTACATTGTTCTGGTAAATGCATCCCCACCCCCTTTCCCCTCCCATGCCCTCCCCTCCTCTCCTCTCCCCACCCCCCAAGTACAATGGGGATGGGGAGGATTTGATTACATTGTACTTGTAAATGTCCCTTCCCTCCTTTCTCCTCCTCTCCCCCCCCCCTCCTTCCCTCTCCTCCCTTCCCGTCCCAATAAAAATGGGATGAAGAGGATTTGTGAGGCAGCGTGGTGGAATCAGGTTCTCGTCAATTTTTGGGCATGTAGAGTTATTGGTATCATCTTAAAGCTTGTTCACTTGTCTTTATTTTGATGAAAAAAATATCCATTTATCTAGTATACAAGTCGAGATATATGCGAAAGAAAGAGGCGACGTTCACCTGTTTTCAGAGGTAAAATTAGTGAGATAATGGCCGCCAAACATTTGTTATTTCCTTAGCTTAAGAGTCCGTGGTAACTAAAAATTGGCATTTTTGTACCTTTAATCAACGTTTTAAAAAAAAACTCACACATAAATGAGTTCACGAGAGGTGTTGAGCCAAAAAACAAAAATTCGATAAAAATTCACAAACCTGCGGCAAAATGCAAGTTTCTTC